TACATTAACAAATATGATTTAACATTTTACTGGGTTTGTTCAAAAATACGGTATGATTTAATTTTCATTTCACTTTACTTTTATTTTTACAAACCTACTTTCTAAGAGGGTATTTTGGTAATTTCATCAAATGAGTGGGGTGGTTAAAAAGCTATTATTTATCATTTCATCCCAAGTAATTAAAGTATAAAAAGAACTGTCTGTTTTACCAAAACATGTGTCTTCAAGCTCTGGTTACCTTCTAGGTTTAGTAACTAGTGAAAAACAAGCTCTGGTTACCTTCTAGGTTTAGTAACTAGTGAAAAACGACCCTGGCAGTGGCCATTAAAAGGGTGGTGTGTGCGCTTCAATAACTGAGTTAATAATTCAAGTCATCGGTGATCTTTACTAATAGACTCACTGACTAAGACCATGTGCAATGGGTGTGTTGAGTTTGAACTCAACATGCAAAATCTCCTCCAATGGGTGTTGAGAGAGGTGTTGAGTGTGTGTTGGAAGAGAGAGGTGTTGAGAAAACTCAACACAATTGAAGCTGACCAAGGGCATGACGTGGCAGCGCCTCATTGGTCTGGGCCAGGCGCGTGTAGCCCACTCGCTGGGGGTGAGAGTGGGTCTTAATCCACGCGGAGAGAGAAAGAGAAAAGGGATAAGTGCAGCCACGTGGCTGTGCTTGATTGGCTGACCAGATTTTTATCCATTTAATACTTTGAACTCAATTATTTCGTTGCAAATTAATTTATTTATTTTTTTTTTACCAAAATTCATGATTTTTTTTCTCTATAAATAGAGACTTGGTTCATTTGATTTGGACACAAAAAAAAACTAAGTTTTTCACTATCTTAATTTTATTATTAGTGTTTATTTTGAAGTTAAGTGTCTTTTTTTAGTGAAATGGATCCCAATAATCATTTTAACACTCAAAATTCTGCTAATTTTCCATTTAACCAAAATCCCAACAATTTTCCAAATCCCAACAATTATCAAAATCCCAACTATTATCAAAATCCAAATCAATTTTCCAACCAACATCCTCAAAACATACCTAATTTTGGTTTTCCACCAAATTTCAACCAGACATCCTCTGTTCCAAACTTTCAAACATATTATGGATCTATGCCGAGAAATCCATCTCAAACACCCCCGTTTAATGGTTATGTGACAATGGCGAATGCAAATTTTCCAAGTGGTGGTGTACCTGAATTTCCCGAGTTTTCAACACAACTAACTATTGGTGGCATGATTGTTTCTAATGAAGTCGGTCCGAATTCAGAGGATTCAACTCCTAAGAGCAGGAAAACTCAGCAACCAACATGGAACACTGAACAAAATTTGGTTCTAATTAGTGGGTGGATTAAATTTGGAACAAGCAGTGTTGTCGGGAGAAACCAGAAAGGTGAAACATATTGGGGTAAAATTGTTGAGTATTGTAATGAGCATTGCTCATTCGATCCTCCGCGTGATGGACCTGCATGCCGAAACCGTTTTAATTATATGAACAAAGTGTTGGATAAATGGATTGGCGCTTATGATGGCGCTAAGCGTATGCAAGGAAGTGGTTGGTCGGAGAATGATGTTTTGGCAAAAGCGCAGGAATTATATGCATGTGGGAAGAATGTTAAATTCACTTTAATGGAAGAATGGCACGCTCTCCGTGATCAACCACGTTATGGTAGTCAAGTAGGAGGAAATATTGGCTCAGGAAGTAGTGGATCTAAGAGATCTCGCGAGAGTGATGCATGTGGCTCAAACACTGTAGAATCCAGTGCTCGTCCTATAGGAAGGGAGGCAGCTAAAAAAAAGGGTAAAAAGAAAAGCAAGGAATATGCCTCGGAGGTGGTGGACAAAGAATGGGCTGAATACAAAGAATTCAAGACGAAAGAGCTTGAACGATTGGACAACATAGCGTTGATGCAACAACAGGCTAACAATATAGCCTTGGAGAAGACTAAAACCAAGAAAATGAAGATGTATCTAAAGCTAACTTCCGAAGAGCATCTAGATGACCGGAAGAACCAGCTGTTGAAAAAGTTGGAGGCAGAACTGTTTGATAATTAATTTCAATGAAGTATTTGTCAGTGTTGTGTTTGCTTTAATTATTGTTGTTTCAATATGCCAGTGTAGTGTTTGCTTTAATTATTGTTGTTTCAATATGCCAGTGTAGTGTTTGCTTTAATTATTGTTGTTTCAATATGCCAGTGTAGTGTTTGCTTTAATTATTGTTGTTTCAATATGCCAGTGTAGTGTTTGCTTTAATTATTCCTTATCTGATAATTAACTCTATACAATAAATTATTTCGAATCCGTCAGTGGTCCACCACCCAATTCGAATCTATTCCTTATCTGATAATTAACTCTATACAATAAATTATTTCGAATCCGTCAGTGGTCCACCACCCAATTCGAATCTATTCCTTATCTGATAATTAACTATATACAATAAATTTTTTCGAATCCGTCAGTGGTCCACCACCCAATTCGAATCTATTCCTTATCTGATAATTAACTATATACAATAAATTATTTCGAATCCGTCAGTGGTCCACCACCCAATTCGAATCTATTCCTTATCTGATAATTAACTATATACAATAAATTATTTCGAATCCGTCAGTGGTCCACCACCCAATTCGAATCTATTCCTTATCTGATAATTAACTATATACAATAAATTATTTCGAATCCGTCAGTGGTCCACCACCCACATCCATTTATATATAGGGACTCATACATCCATTTATGTACCAATATCCCAAATCCCATTCAATCTACCTCCAATATCACAAAAAAATGGATCCATCACAATATCATTTTGATATCGCAGCCTACAATCAAAATCGTGAAATTGAAGAAAATTATATAGTCAATCGATTTAGAGAGCGTAGAAACAAAATATCGGAAGATAATGCACCTCGTAGTAGAAAATATCTCAATAGAGATCATGCAGCGGCAAACCAAAGACTAATTGACGACTACTTTGCCAATGAGCCTACATATGACGATGCAATGTTTCGTCGTCGGTACCGGATGAAAAAAAATGTTTTCCTTCGAATCGTTGGGGACCTTTCAAGTAGTGATAACTACTTCACCCAGCGAGTTGATGCAGCCAATAAAGAAGGTATATCACCCTTAGCAAAATGTACCACAGCAATGTGAATGTTAGCATATGGTGTGGCAGCAGATGCGGTCGATGAGTACATCAAAATAGGAGGTACTACAGCATTTGAGTGCTTACGTCGATTCTGTAAAGGAATCATACGCTTGTACGAGCAAGTGTATCTGAGAGCACCAACCCAAGATGACCTGCAAAGAATACTGCATGTTAGTGAAATGCGGGGGTTCCCAGGGATGATTGGGAGTATTGACTGCATGCACTGGGAGTGGAAAAATTGTCCTAAAGCATGGGAAGGACAATTTACTAGAGGGGATAAGGGAACCACCACAGTTATTCTTGAAGCAGTTGCATCTCATGACCTATGGATCTGGCATGCCTTTTTTGGATGTCCGGGAACGTTGAACGATATAAACGTTCTAGACCGGTCACCAGTGTTTGATGACGTGGAACAGGGAAAGGCTCCAAGTGTGAATTTCTTTGTGAATCAACGTCCATATAATATGGCATACTATCTAGCTGATGGTATCTACCCTTCTTATCCAACTTTCGTCAAATCGATTAGACTTCCTCAAAGTGAACCCGATAAATTATTTGCAAAATTTCAGGAGGGATGTCGGAAGGACATCGAACGTGCATTTGGAGTGCTCCAAGCTCGATTTAAAATCATCCGTGAACCAGCTCGCTTGTGGGACATAGCTGATTTGGGTATCATCATGAGGTCATGCATCATATTACATAATATGATTGTTGAGGATGAACGAGATTCATATTCTCAACGTTGGACCGATTTTGAGCAGTCTGGGGAAAGTGGATCTAGTGCACCACAACCATACTCGACCGAGGTGTTACCCGCTTTTGCAAATCATGTGTGTGCTAGATCAGAGTTCCGTGATCCAAATGTTCATCAAGAATTGCAAGCCGATCTAGTGAAGCACATATGGACAAAGTTTAGAATGTTACGTGATTGAATTATTTGTGTGTTGTATTGCATTTTAAATTATTTGTATCGTACTAATTACGTTACTTGTGTGTTGTATTGCATTTTAAATTATTTGTAACGTACTAATTACGTTAATTGTGTGTTGTATTTTAAATTAATTTAAGATGATTTGTATCGTATCCAATTATTTAAATAAATTTTGTTTTTATTACAAAAAATTAAAAAATAAATTATTAAGTATTTATTATTTTAATTTAATTTTAATCGATAATTGTAATTTTATGTAATCATAAAAATAAAAATAAAATTTAAATAAGAATATGAAAATAAAAAGTGGTGGGGTAGGGTGTTGAGTGAAAAACCATTGGAGAGGGTAAAAGTTGAATGAGTGTTGAGTTATTAGGTGGAAGAAAGAGAAAATGATGTGGAGTGTTGGGAGTTGAAAAAGTGGGTGTTGAGTTTTTCAACCATTGTAAATGGTCTAACAAGATAAATAAAAGTACATCTGAGCAGAATGAAGCTATTTGTCTGAGATTGACTTTAATTACCAAAGATGAAGTTACATCAAAAGGATCTCACTAACATACAAAAACTGAGTACTGATACTGAATAATGCCAATCATGCATCAGCGTTCTAAAGCATAATGAATATATCTTCATGAACTTATTTAGATTTTAGCATCAATTTTGTTCGATCATAACAATGAAAGGATCTCATGAACAGACAGAAATTGAGTACTACTAATATTGAATAATTCCCAATCAAGCACCAGTGTTCTAGGGCATAATGAATACAACTTCATAAACTTATTAAGATTTTAGCATCAATTTTGATCGATCATAGCAATTAAGAAATACATATGTTCGACAGTGTCTTGTATTTAAAAAGCAAAACTATATAACTAAACAAAATTGTATTCAATAAAAGTTTCCCAATGTTAGCAGACTTCAATCTTGAGTTGCAGCTCCTTGGTTGAGCTCAGCAAACCTCATGCCAACACGCATAGAGTGCTTTAGAAATTTTTCTGCACATCTTCGAACACAGGTTTCCTCCTGCTTTTGTAGGGATTTATGCTTAAACGTATCAACACAATCTTGAAAGCATCTCTCCACTAGGTTATTGTACATTCTCAAGCTGCAATGCAATTTAAAATATAATTAGGTAACCCTGTTACAACATGATAATTAAGCATGCAATCAATACAATTAAACAAAGCCAAAAATACAAGACCCCTTTCATGTAGTGAAGCAATAATCAACCACCCTAATCGAGTCATATGTAAAATATAAAGGAATTGATTGATATGTTCAATCATTTACATATTTCATAGAAAACAAACAGCCAAAATACCATCATCAGAATCAGAAGTATTTGTATATTCAACAATAAATGCTATTTGTGAAAAAACAAAATAAAAAACAAAATGAAGACTCATAAAGGGAGATCTTAATTCATTTTGAAAGAGAAAAAACTTGATTTAGCTTTTTGAACAGAAATTCAAACACAGTAACACACACTACAAATCTGCTATAATAACCACATTGAGTAGATAAGAAAGACCAATTTGGTACTTAATCCACGAGGCTCTCACATTTAATTCACTAGTCTAATGAATTGGGCTCTCCTCATCAATTAAGTCATAGCAATTGGAGCTTTGAGTGAAGTTAGGCTTACATAAAGGGCTACCTATAGGCTGGGTTAAGGTGCACCATCAAGTATGATAGACGAATAAAGCTGCCAAAGAGATATCAACAGGTGAAATTCATTGTAGATTTTAACTCGAAGTGACAATTTTTTAGTACAAGAAAAATCAATGTGGTAATTAAGCCATGAGGCTCACAATCACAAGCCTAATGAACTAATCTTTTGGGATAGACTTAGGTCATAACAATCTTCATTAGACAAAGCCCGTCGGAGGTACTGAAATATCAAACATGAAACTAACAACTAACACATGACAGCTACAAGTGATTGATTACAAAAACAAGAAATTACAGAGAAATAACCCACTTATTAAGAAATGTAGTTCCTAAAACGTCCAGAAGCAACATCCAAAAGTCACACTGGTTTTAAGGAGAACATCATTATGGCTTCACAGAACAAGAAGGCACAAAATTTGCAACTATTGTGCTGTCAATAAATAAAGTAGTATGAAGTGAAATTCAATGCATGATGGTAAATGCAACTCTCTCTTTTCCTTTTTAATTGTCATTTTTTTAACTTTTTACACATGCCAAGAAAGCTAATAATTGTTTTACTTTTCAAGCAATAACTTTCATTTTATCTATTATACCCTTAACTATTTATTATCCAAATTTACTTTTTTTTTCTCTCAATAAATATTATGGGTAATTTTGACAACCATAATCAATACTACTTTAAACTTTCCTCACGAGCCTAGGATCATAACAATCTTAATTACACAAAGCTCGCCGAAGGTTCTGAAATATAACACATACAGCTACATGTGATTGATTAGAAAAAGAAGAAATTACATAGAAATAAACCACTTATTAAAAAAATGTAGTTCCCAAAACGTCCAGAAGCAACATTCAAAAGAGTCACACTGGTTTTAAGGAGAACATCACTATAGCTTCACAGAACAAGCAATCACAAAATTCACAACTATTGTGCTGCCAATTAATAATATGAAGCGAAATTCAACTCATGACGCTAAATGCTAATACAAACCAACAAAAAGAACAAATTGAAAGTAAACCCTAAATGTAACAGAAATAATTATTAATTTTTTATCAAAAACAAGAAAAAGGGGTTAGATTTAGAAAACCTATCACGGACTTGGAGCTGGTCAATCATGGCGGTCATTCTTTGTTGATCTTCCGCTGGAAGAGAAGCCATATCAGCAATCATGTTTGGGTCCATTTTGGATCGAACGCTGCCGTCAAGGGTTTTGAGTATGGGTTTTTTCGGAAGAAGATGAGATCGCAATACTCAGCCGCTACTTTGCACATATGGTTTTGTCTTGGGCTTTTATACGGTGCTGGTTGAAGATTTAACCTGCACGTGCTAGGGTTCTAGTTCCACTTTTTTACACTTTTATTTTTTACCAAGCTAAATTAAAACTTAAATGTATTTTGATTTTCTTTCTATTTTTTTATTATTTTATTTTGGATACAAGGAGGGCCAGGGGTCCAAGGAAAAAAGAAACTAAGCAAAAATTGACCTAGTTACAAGAACACCACTAGTATAGATAGCTAAAAAACGAGAAATATTTGCTGGAGTCGAATTATAGATCATGATATCAAAATCGCAATCACAGCTTATCTTCGCCAGCATATTTGCATACTAGTTAACTTTTCGAACTGAATGTGCAACACTAACATCCTCATGTTTAGCGATGAGCAGTTTAATATGATCAATGATCATCATACTCCTAATATGCATGGAACTACCTCTCTCAATGGCCTGAACATCTAAGGTTGAATCAATATTAAGCTCAACCTTGTCGTATTCAAGAGCTAGTGTGGGTTTGAGGCCTTTAAGGACACCCCATAAATCATTCATAAAAGTAGAATAACTTCTCAACGACTTTGAGTAACCACTCAACCATCTACCAAACTCGTCTCTAATAATACCACCACACCCAGCAACTAACGTGCTCTTGCAAGCTCCATATGTGTTTAGCTTAACCCAGTTAGAATAAGGAGGACACCAAGAGAGACTCCTCGTAAGAAGAGTGTTATTAAGACCAAACTTCATAACACCACTAGCAACATTGTACTCCTTAACTTTCTGCGAAATGAAATCTCCTGGATCGAAAGGACGACCCCCAACATTTCCACGCACCTCGCTATTTCTCCACAACCAGATAAAATAGCACCCAGTCACCCAAATAGTACACGAATTCATTTTCAAATTTGCAGTAGCAATATTGCCTTCAAACCAACTGAGAGAATCCACACTCGTAAAGAAGGACTGAAATGCAACCAAGGGTCGCAAGTAATTCCATACCCGTATGGCCTTCGGGCAGTCCCTCAAAACATGCAAGGTGTTTTCTGCAACATGGCCACAGAGGGTACAACTAGCTGAACCTAAACCACGTTTACCCTTGTTGTAATTAGTCATTAGTCTATCGTGATAAACTATCCACAGGAACAAACGAATTCTTTCTGGAACTTTAAATTTCCAAATATACATCCAATACTGCTTCTTCATCTCATCTGTATTGCCTAGTAGTGCCTTGTACATTTCTTTAACGGGATAACTACCATCACTAGTTCCAGCCAGCAGGTAATGATCCTCTTCATTAGCTGGATCAGGCAGAATTATAGCCATAAGCTTGTTGATGATAGAAGAAGGCATCCACCCACGTAACATATTCCACTACCATTCTCCATTTTCATTAATCAACCTTGTAAAGCTTCATAAATTTGGACATTAAGATTTGCAATGCAAAGACCAAACTCTATCCAACAATCATCCCAAGCATCAATACTCCGACCATTCATAATGCTCCATATTCCAGTATCTCTAATGTAAGGTATCATATTATACATTGCCCTCCAGAGGCTTGAATCATTATTGTTATAATTACAATGTCGTTGATTATCATTATCAAGGTGCATCCCTTTCAAAATTTTACACCATAACCTGGGAATTATTCATTAGACTCTAATTCAGCTTCATGAAGCACGCTTTATTCATGATTTCTAATTTCCGCAAGCCTAAACCACTATTAGTCTTTGACTCTGTCATTATATCCTAATTCACATCATGTATTTTCCTTGAGTCGAAGTATCGCCCCAGATGAAGTTTCTTTGAAATCGTTGAATATCCTCTATACATGCAACAAGGAGCATGTTAGTCATCATAGCATACGTCAGGATAACTTCCATAACAGATTTTTCCAAGGTGACTCTACCTGTAAAAGACAAAACATTAGTTTTCCAAGAAGCAAACCTACCTTCGACTTGCTCCATGAGGTACTAAAAATCATTTCTTTTTAGGGCTTTCCCACTTAAAGGCACACCCAGGTACTTCCCAAAGTTGTTGGTTTCCCGATATCCAGAAATATGCACCAATTCATTTCTCAAATTTTGCGGAACATTATTGGAGAACATCAAGCTAGTTTTTTCAATACTAACTTCTTTTCAAGACATAACACAAAACTTCTTAACGTTATCCATAACACAAACCATATGCGCCTCCGTAGCATCGCTAAACAACAACAAATCATCAGCAAACATAAGATTAGAAATAGCAAGACCATGCTTCCACATTTGAATAACTCTGAACCTCTTCATCCTGACTTCATTCTAAATTAAATGAGTAAGTTTGTCTATACAAAGAACAAACAGATACACGGAGATAGGATCTCCCTGACGAATGCCACGATGAGGCCGAAAAAACTCACCTTTAGCTCCATGCCAATTCACATTTGTTTCCACATTGGTAATAGAATGCATGATAACATTCAACATTCCCATAGGCAAATCTATTTCACGAAGAACCAACCAAATAAACTCCCACTCTAATTTATTGTAGGCTTTTGAGAAATCAATTTTGATGGCGAAGTAACCCTTATTGCCTTTCTTCTTCTGTAAAATATTCATAACTTCCTTGGTAATAAATAATGTTTTTGTGAATGGACCGCCCCGGAATAAAGCCTGTTTGAAATAGGGAAACCAATCTATTCATGATATCCTTCAATTTCCCCACTACCACTTTACTCATAACTTTATAGATAGTATTACACAAGGAGATAGGCCTGAATTGCGTCACGAGTTGTGGATGGTCCACTTTCGGGATTAAGCATATATAAGTTTTATTAACATCACAATTGAACACCAGGTTTGTCCATTCCTTCCTAACAAACTCACACACACTCTTACCAACAACCTCCCAAGATCTTTGATAAAAACCCGCCGGGTAGCTATCAGGACCCAGAGCTTTCCAGGGTTTCATGGCAAAAATGGCTTTTCTCACTTTATCATCTGTAACTTCCTTAGCAAGATTTCCACGATCCTCATCAAGAATTTTAGGAAAAGTAATCACAGTAGGATCCTTCTTACTCTAATTATAATTCAAGGTAAATAACTTTTTATAAAAATCAGTTACCATACGTTGAAGCTGCTCTCTGTCCTCAACCCAGTCCTTATTATCATCCTTAATCATAATAATCTTATTACGCCGTCTTATGTTAATGGAAGACATATGATAATATTTCGTCTTCCTATCACTATCTACTAGCCATTGCATTCTCGATCGTTGGTACCACATCAACTCCTCTTGATCAATAATTCTACTCATATCCACTTGCAACTTTTTCTCCAGATTTATTATGCTCTTGATGTTATACCATCTTCGAAGACACTTTTGAACTCCAGTTAAACAAGCCATGATATGTTTTTTCATATAGACTACATGATCAAAAGTATGAATCTTCCACTTCTTGATCTCTTCTTTCACACTCTTCAGATTTTTTGCACTTCATTACTATGTTTCCACGTACTAATCAACATATTATTGTAATTAGTGTCTGTCAACCAAGCACTTTCAAAACGAAATTCTCGAGGCACTCTAAACTCCACACCAGGGGATGGGTTAATCAACAACAGATGATGATCCAAATAATCTACCCTGGTCAGAACATTAGCTTGAGCATTTGGGAAGGCAAGCTTCCAGTATTTGGTACTCAAAAATCTATCAAGCTTCTCATAAATCCTATGCCCACCATGGTACAATAGACCTTTCCACATAAATTTTGATCCCGTAGTCTCCATGAATAAAAGGATACAATCATTTATTCTATCTCTGAAAATTTGACATTTCCTAGTAGAGGCCACTATTCCGCCCTTTTATCTGATCCAAAGGCAATGTCATTGAAGTCCCTACTAGTAACCAAGGGACTGTCACAGAATCCGCAATACTTTTAAGACCGCCCCACAAACTCTTCCTTTTACTATCCTGAGGGCTCGTATATGTAGTTGTGAACAACCATTCTCTACCTCTTTTATCTTTAATATTACGGTGAAAAAATTGCATGTCTTTTTGCATCACTTGAACAAAAACACTAGTTGACTTCCAAGCCACACAAATACCCCCCCCCCCCCCCCCCCCATAAAATCCATTATTCTCCATGCTGACATTATTGTCAAAACCCAACTTGTTCAGCAATTTTACAAGCAACTTAGTGACACTTCTGGTTTCTAAAGCAACAAACACATTTGGCTTATAGATATCCATATAATGCTTGCTAAATCTATAAAAAGCTTTACTAGCTGCACCACGACAATTCCATACTACCATTTTATTAGATGTACTCATCATAAAAAACCAAAATGACAAAATGATTCCTTGGGAAAAGGACCAGCTTAAAAGTTGGTTATCTACTTCTCGATGATAGTGTTTCCTTGCTCCATGTCTATCGAGCAATCAACTACCTCCACATTGTCCTCTGCATTTTCCAATTTCCCATTAAACTCATTACCTTCCTTCATACTATCATACTGTTCATTTGACTTCTGGCCCTCCTCAAGTGTATCAGGCAGTCTCGTCCACTGATATGTGAATCTTAGGCACCCTTCGAGCTGCTGAGAAGAAGTGTTCGTTTGCCTTTTAGTCGCTGCATGGGAGAATGTTTCATCGTACCAGATTTGATACCCATGTTAGTATTTCTCTCTCCCTTATTTATTGTGTACAAATCTGGTTGGATATTACTTTCTTGGACCCCACTAAAAGTTTTTTCCCAAGAAATGTATACTCATTTTACAAATTCCCCATTATTTTTTTCCTTAAAGTTGAGCCCTCCATGTGTTGCCAGAGATTTAGATTTCTTGTTATTTTTACTTTTTCTCTTTTCTCTATTTTCGTGAAAGCCATTTGTCCCAATATCCTCCTGACTTATAAAATCTTGTGCCCCA